CCAGTCTGAGTCCAGTTCCAGTCTGAGTCCAGTTCCAGTCTGAGGCCAGTTCCAGCTCAAACCGGATCAGAGAAAAAGCTTTTACCAGGATCTGATTATCTTAATGTGCTCTGTGTGTTGTTTTTTTTTTTGTTCCTGTGCTTCTACCTCTTATTGTAACAATAAAAGGTTCCCTGTAGTGCACCAAGACAGAACTAATAGTCGTATTTCATCTTTTTTTCACCTCAAAATCTTGAATATTTAAAAAGTATCTGGGATTTTTCTGTATCAGTTTAACCCAGTAATGCCAAATGTATCATATCTGATTCATACAGTTTCTGAAATGTTTTGGTCTGACTCCTTTTGCATAATTTAATGGTAAAAACTTTGTTCAAAATCCTATTGTACACAATCAGATACACCTGATAACAGGGGGCAGAAGACTACACAAAAAATAATCTGGACTTATCGCATAGCAATAAATTATTAATATTGAAAAACTATTTCTGTTTTTTCTTTTTACATATTTTGTTAAAAGGACAAATAAGGAATTCAAACCAAAAAAAGTAATTTTCAGTTTTGTTTTATTCTTGGATCAGGCTTTAAAGGGCTAAACAGACTTCTGTCTGAACTGTGGCTCAGTCATTTAAACCAAATTTTTCTAAAAAAGCTATTTCTTTTAAAAATGCTATTTAGAAAAAACATATATCATCTTTTGGATATTTTTCACCTTTATCTTCCTATTAAGCCATGAAGGCATCATCATATCCTCTTAGTTAACCATCATAGTACATTTATCATTTAACATTTCATAGATACATTTTATTAGCCTAATTTGGCATTTTGGTAACAGGCTAATTTTGGATTAATGGAGATTTTGATAGTTATCTATCAGATAGTTATCTGATCAGGAGGACGTGGATAACTTTCTATCTCAGACATTTGAAGTCCTGGATGCAAAACAAAGCAAACAGCATCAGATTAAAAAGGGGCAATAACGGAGCGGGAGGCTATTAATTAATGGAGCTATAAGGAAATGCCCAGGAAATGAAAGACCACAAACCAAATCCTGTAAAGTGTGCTCTGAAATATCAGCACCAGCGTTATTACGTTAGCATCGACTGGTCAGAAATGAGTTGATAACGGTTTGTTATCAGTCAAACTCCACTTTGGAAAAGTTACAAGCAGACATAAAAAAGACCCCAGAAACGTGGGATAAAAGATTGGAAACAAGCTATTTGGTTAAGCAAAAGGAAACATTTATGCATTATAGTGGTTTGGATCGGGCTCCTCGTTTATAATTAGGATAAAATGACTTGTAGACTAATTCTAAAACTTCGGGATAACCTGAGAATTGACCTATAAAAGGGACACAAAACAAATGTTCCCCTAAATGTTTTTACACCAGAATATTTACTGATGGCTATCAGGAAAATACAGGTTTGTATTCTTTATTTTTTTTTGTTTCTAAATGTATTTTTGTCATTGTGGGATAATGGTCTCTTCCTATTGTTGTATCTTTAGTTATTTAATATGAACTAAATCCGTCCAATGAATGCAGAATTATTGTGAGATCCAAATGAATAAAAACTCCCTCAGATGTTCCTTCAGAGAGTATAACCCGCTTTTCTGCTGAAGTTTTTCTCTTCTGTCAGCATTTTTGTTTGTTTTAACATTATGGGTCATTGTGACTTTTGAATAATTGGTAAAGTTCTTTAGACTTGTTGTGTTTAAGGGACAAACACCAGCTCAATATTCAAGTTTAGTCATTTGACAACAGGGAAAAAGACACAAGACTAACTGAGACCAAGACTAAGATTAGGATAAAAATTAAAGATTCAGATTAAAAACAGGAGCCATATTTTAACTTTAGACTAAATAGTTGACGTGGGTTTCTGAGAACTTCCATGTTAGAAGACCCGATGAGTAAAATTGGTGTTTCTACCATTTTTTACTTGACCTTTCCATGTCAAATTTCTTAGTTTGCACACAATTAAAACAAAAAAAATAATGTAAACTGTCAAATTTGTGAGTGCAAAATTCCTTTTCTGCTAACAGTCAGCCACTAATAAACTGTTTCTCTTGTATAACTTTAAACTTTACAATTAAAACACAGACATTTTGAGTCTAATTAAACACTAATTCTATGTATCTGGGTCAGACTTGTTCGTTTTTAGAAGTTAGATAAGATCAATTACACTATATAAATATAAATATACATATTCTGTTTTATTCTTAACACAAAGCCGTCCTCTTCTCCCATTTTGTCTCCTCCTGCCCTAAAAAATGAACAAGAATCTGACGAGAGCATCAAATATTTAAAGTCAATTACTGGGACTTTTTGTTTTAAATGGCAGTGAGTGGTTTTTAAATCCAGTTTTGTTGGTATTTTTAGGCCTTTTTTGTTTTTCACATCTGGCTCACATTACAAAAACACCTTCAGGTTTCTGTTTCGGATCAGAGCAAACAGCTGCCGTCATTCACATCTGGATAAATTGACTTTTTTACTCATTCACATCTGTTGCCATGGATACAGATGGAGGTAAGATCGGTCGTCCCACCTGTGGAAAATCCCAGCAAACGGGGTGAATCTTTAGAGCTGTTTTTCTTTGTTTTGTGTCTTTAAAACTCTAATTTCTTCTGCTTCTGTTTCTGAGAAATGAAAACATTTTTAGGTCATCCATCCAAATGTCTTTAGTGCTCCGTTTGGGCTGATTCGTGCCTTTAAAACCGTCGTTTTTGCTGCTTTCTGTTTCTTTTTTGACATATTTTATTTGCCGTCACCAGTTGGGAATAAAAGGTTCAACAGGTACACAAATTTTAAACATTAAATCATAATGAAACTATCCCATTTGTGAGGTCATCAAATAAACTTACTGGGAGGAAGCTACATTTATTAGTTAACATCTAAAGCACGTTTGTTTTAAGGAGAAAAAAATATATTTTTCCTAATCTTTATGAAGAAATACAATGAAAAAAATAAATAAATAAAAACATCTAAAGCACATTTCTTTTAAGAAGAAAAATATTTTTCCTAATCTTTATGAAGAAATCCAATGAAAAAAATAAATATATATATATATATATATATATAATATATTTTATATAAATAAAATATATAATATATTTTGCAACAGTGGATAAAACAGAATTGAATTTGCATGAAAGAAAAATACAAAATATTTGAGAACACACAAATTATGAAGAGCAGCTGTGAACTTTAACCTGTACATGGGATATACCTTTAATTTATTTTTATATTTATTATCTTATTTCATTGTATTCTTGCACTTTGCTCTTATTGTCCTCTCAGGAACAGCTGCGTAATCCATTTAACTGAGTGTTACACTCTGAATAAATGTGTTCCTGACAAATAAAAGTTTTTTTTTTTTCCTTTCACAGTAAAGGAAAGTCTCCCTTTCTTCGTCTCCTTTCTGCCCCAAGGACGGAGACCATTTTTATCCCCGATGCCATCGGTTTTTTTTACAGAAAAAGGATATTTTCAAAGTAACGGATGAATTATTTTGACACGTGTCAGAATCTGGACGTCCCCGTGAGCTCATAGATCCCTTTAGACTCGTTCGGAAACAGTAAAATAAACCGGGACGTTTAAAGTCTGCAGATGACTCATAATGCTCCTGAGAATGAAATAAATATGGAAATATTCCCCAAAGTCCTAAACGAGCAGGTCTGACCACAGTCTGAGGTCATCATGATAACAACATTTAATATTTATCCCCACTCCTAAAAACTTCCAACACTCACTTTGTTCAAATGTCCATAACTTTAGATAAATTAAAAGATAAACTTGCATATTTCTGACTTTAAGGAGCAAAAAGCAGAAATATAATAAAGCGTTTGAATGCTGATTTTTATCAGTTTATTTCCCTCCTGTTTTTCCTTTGCTGTCCTCTGTTGAAATCACCTGTTTTAATAATATTTAGTGTTTTATTTTGTCTTTATTCATTTCGGTATGCTGCTTTTCTTCTTTCCTAAGTTTTTACCATTCAATTCCACTTTTGTTCGCTCTGCCTGGATTAAAAAAACTATATTGCATTATTATTATTGCATTATTATTATTTAATCATCATTATTGCATTGTTCTACTACAATAAAACGTTTTATTCTAAGTTTCTTAAGTCTTATGTAACTACTGGGCTGTCTATCTAATGCAAACTTATTCAGACATGAATTAATTAAGAACTGAAAGAATCAGAATTTTATTTGAAGATTAACAACTCGCAGTATAAATATAAAGAGTGATTTATTGCAGAGTCATAAAGGCCGTTTGGTTTGTGTCAACACATGATAAAGTTTCTTCATTTAGGACAACCTACTCACCTTAAACTCCAGGAGGCTCTTTTAAAAGTCAAAGTAAGGCAAAGGATTTAATTCAGCTGCTCTTTTGTTCCCCAAAGGATCTAAAGACCTGATTAAAAATGAAAGACGTGTCCATTTGAATGTTTTTCTTGACAACTGATGTGGAATTAATGTAAAATTAATACAAGACATCCAGAACTTTTAAATCCCAGAGTTACTGTCAGCTCGGAAAATTCAAAACTTTTCCATCTTTGAACAATTCATAATAAACACATCATAATCATTATGTCACCATCTATAGATAGATAGATAGATAGATAGATAGATAGATAGATAGATAGAT